GCGCATATATATATATATATATATATATATATATATATATATATACACATGCACATTACTCTTCTGTAATCTAAAGCACGATGCATTGGACGCTTGGGATTCTCCCAACGAAAACGATTCCATTAGCGGGAATGTAAATCTGGCATCGAAACAAAGCTCACGAGTTTGCTGAACCCATTCAGCATATTAAAACTCCTAAAGGTCGTTTTCGAGACGAGAGAGTATGTGAAGGCGATTCAGGTAACACAACGCCAATTCTTGTTCCTATGTTTCTATTTTAAAAAAAGATCGTTTTACTTCTAATGGGGTCAATCACTTGAAATATATATTTAGAAAAAATAAAGTTACATAATTTTAAAAGTTAATAATAAAAGATTTAATTTGTCCATCGTGTTGTCCCGATTCTACACATGTTCTTCCTTTTTGCTTCGTTTTTCAATTAGTTGTCCAAGTATCATTTAGTGATCGCTAAAATTTTCATACAAGAGACAGTGTGTGGAACGCCGATAAAAATTAAAATTCGGGAGAAAATATCGATCGACGACGAGATTTTAAATTATATCCTCGACATCCGTCGACACTATGAGGTCCCGGACCTACGTCACGATAATTATGGGTGGTCGAATCTGTCGGACCGTAGGTCCCTGTGATGAAACAGGTTGAAGTGATTTTATTCAATTTGTCGAGGGTCGTGGAACACTCCTTCATAGGGATATCATAGATCTCATCGAGATTTCTGACGATAGGGATGCTTACAACCGAGGAAAGAGGATCGTCGCGGCACTTAAACATTCATGCATAAATTAAGGCGCATTTCTAGCTCCTTCAGGAGTGTTCGAGGAGTACGCTTTTAGGCGGATTCTTCTCTTTTATTTTTTCCATCAACTCAAATATTTGAGTGTGATTTTAGTATTATTTTATATGCAAAATTGAAACGGAGTATAATTTACGGCGGAATCTCGAGAGAGAGAGAGAGAGAGAGAGAGAGAGAGAGAGAGAGAGAGAGAGAGAGAAGAGAGAGAGAGAGAGAAGTAAGT